GTCATTGGTGCCTGCCTGGCTGGCCTTGGTGCTACACACCACCCCTCATGGCTGCCCTCTTGGCTCCTTGTACATTGCCAGTTGGTCTCTGACCCCTGGATCTCCATTGGTGAGCTATGTGGCGCTCAGCAGGCTCCTGCCTACTTTACTTTTTAGGGTACAGAGTGTCTCTCCACTCTCTGGCTTGATTCACCTTCACATCTTGCCAACCCAGGCTTCCAGCCCAATCTAGTAGCCCATGTCAAAATTGGCTGGAACTTTTCACTTCACAGACTTGTCTTTCACCTTCTGTAACAAAGGCCTTATCTGTTCCTTTAGGAAAGGGGAAAATTTCCCTTGGAGGAAAATTTATTTTCTTTTAAAAATTTCTGTATAAAATAATAAATGCAAAATAAATGTTATGAAACATAGTAACAAAATAAACATATGTGAACACATTACCTCAACAAGAATTAGAACATTATTGATATGACTGCATCTGCCTATGTGCCCTCCCCTGGTCCATATGCCTGCCTGCCCCCAAGAGGGAGCCACTATCCTGAATTTTGTATTTATTATTTCCTTTTTGTTTTTAAAAGAATAGCTTTATTACTCTTGTGTGTATACATGTATATGTCCACAAACTTTACTTATTATTTACTTTTGCTTGATTTTGAGCCTTATGACAACAGTGTCATATTGTTATGTAGATTTTTTTCTACTACAAACAATATGCTATGATTATTCTTACACACATTTCTTGGTGCCCATGGATTATAGGGCATGTGAATGTTTAAGTTCAGAAGATAATTAGCACAAAGTTATTAGCACAAAGTGATTGTGCTAATTTACATGGTTATGATATTGAATGTAAATATCAATGCTATAACTCTCAAATTATTTAGGTCTTAATTAATGTCTTCTAATAATATTTTATTATTTTCCCTTACAGGTATTGAGCAATTTTTGTTCATCTGCTGTTATGTACTTATAGTTCTGAGTTATATTAATTGAGTTTCTTTTTTTTACAATTATATTTTCTGTTGCTGGTATATGTAAATGCAGCTGATTATTAAATATTGACCGGATATTTGGTTACCTTGCTGAAATTTCTGTTGCATTCTGCAGATACTTTTGGGACAATTATATGTTATAAATTATAGTTTTGTTTCTTTATTTTTTATTTTTATGACTAATATTTTTCTTATCTTGTTGCATTGGCCAGGATTTCCAATGTAGTTTAAGCAGAAGTGGTAAGAGGAGGCATCCTATCATTTTTATTTTTCTTCCTTTCTTTTTTTATTAATCTTTACCTGAGGATGTTTTTTCCATTGATTTATTTTTTTATTTTTTTTTAGAGAGAGTGGATGGGGGAGGAAGAGGGAGAGAGAGAGAGAAACATCGATGTGAGAGACACATATCAATTGGTTGCCTCCTGCATGTACCCCGATTGGGGGTGGGGAATGAACCTGCAACCCAGGTATCTTCCCTTGACTGGGAATTAAACCGGAGACCCTTTGGTATGCAGACCGACACTCTACCACTGAGCTACATTGGCCATGGCTCATTTTTTATTTTAAAGGAAATGATCTTACATTTCCTCATTAGAATAATGTATCTTATAGGTTTTTACCAGTTAATCTTAGACTGACTAAAGAATTTTCTTCTATTCCTAGTTTGTTAAAAGTCTTTATGATGAGTGAGTAAATTTGTCAAATTCTTTTTCTGCATCTATTGAGAGGCTCTTAATTAATTAACTAATTAATTATTAAATTGAGGCATAATTGACATGCAACATTATATTAGTTTCAGGTGTACAACATTTGCATATTTTGTAAAAAGGTCACCACAATAAGTCTAGTTAACATCCATCACCATATGTAGTTACAGAAATATTTTTCTTGTGATGGGAACTTTTAAGATTTACTGTCTTAGAAAATTTTGAATATACAAAACAGTGTTATTAACTATAGTAGCCATGCTGTATGCTACATTTTCATGACATATTTATTTTATAACTAGAAGTTTTATCTTTTGACCTCCTTCACCCATTTCATACATTCCCCCCCGCCCCACCCCACTCCCCACCTCTGGCAACCACCAATCTGTTCTCTGTGTCTATGAGCTTGTTTTTGTTTATGTGTGTGTTTTTTTGGTTAATTTGCATTCGAGGATATTTTTTCCATTGATTTTTAGAGAGAGTGGAAGCAAGGGAGGGAATATGGGTGTGTGACCCCCCCCCCCCCCCGACTGAGGCCAAGGACTGAACCTGCAACCCAGGTATGTGTCCTTGATCTGGAATCAAACCTGTGACCCTTTGATGCACAGGCTGACATTCTGACTACTGAGCAACAGCAGCCAGGGCTATTTGTTGTTTTGATTCTACATATAAGTGAGATCATACAGTATCTGTCTTTTTCTGTTTGACCTGTTTCACTTAGCATAATACCTTCACGGTGCATCCATGTTGTCACAAATGACAGGATTTTATTCTTTTTCATGGCTGAGTAATATTCTATCATATATGCAGAATATTTTATATATATATAGATATCACATTATCTTCATTCATCCATTGATACACACTTAGGTTGTTTTCATATCTTTGCTCCTATAAATAATGCTGCAATGAACATGGTATTTCTTTTTGAGTGAGTGTTTCTTTCTTTTTTTTTTTAGATGAATACCTAGAAGTGAAATTGCTGGATCGCATGGTATTTTTATTTTTTATTTTTTTGAGAAACATTCATACTGTGTTCCATAGTAACTGCACCAATTTACATTACAAGATGTCTGAATAGACATTTTTCTAAAGAAGACACACAAATGACCAACAGGTACATGAAAAGATGCTCAACATCACTAATCATCAGGGAAATGCAAATCAAAACCATGAAGAGACATCACCTCACACCTGTTAGAATGGCTATCATAAAAAAGACAAGAAATAACAAATGTTGGTGAAGATGTGGAGAAAAGGGAACCTTTGTGCACAGTTGGTGGGGAATGTCAGTTGGTGCAGCCACTATGCATATGCTTTTATTTTTATCCTTTAATGTTGGTGTGTGATACATCATAATGAAAGATTTTCTTATGGTAAAACCCTCCTAAATTTCTGGAATAAACAAAACTTGATCATAATGTATTATCTTTTTATGTACTTTTGGATTCAGTTGCTAATACTTTGTTTAGAACTTTTTACTTTTTACTCTATCTTCATGAGCAATTCTGCCAGTGATTTTCTTTTCTTGTATTGTACATGTCTGGTTTTGACATCAAGGTTTATATTGGATTCGAAAGCTGAGTGAGGGATGTTTTTCTTGTGACAGTCTGCTGATGCTTCTCTAATAGTTATTTTGGCCTTCTTTCTTTAACAACAGAACTGTAATTTTTAGCTGGACATTTAGCTAAAGATTATATTTCCAGTCTCCCTTACCCTCTCCCATGTGATTAAGTTTTGGCCAGTATTCCTTCAGTGTCAGTTCTTTATAGCTCTGAATCCTGAGAGTTATGATTCCTGCTCTGAGAAATAGGTCCTTGAAAGCATTTGTTTCTAATGGTGACTAATTTCATTAAACTAAAAAATAAACTTGAGTATATAGACTTCTTAATATACATATATTGCATTGAGGCAGAATTAGAGAAATATCTTCGTTTCTTCTTGATATACATTTGCAGCTTTTCTAGATACCTGAGCAGAATGGAAAAATGTCATTCTTGAAGTCACTAAACCAGCCACTTTTTACATAAGAGGATGTCAATATGAAACATTTTCAGCTTTTAAAAAGAACTTTAAACACTTTTTCTTCAATTGTAAGAAAGCTTGCTCTTAAACATATGAACCAACATGACTTTTATGCTAAACGAATGGTATTCCAAATTTAACATGCTTTGTAACATAATAGACTGAACTTTACATTTTTCATGATGATTTCTTTTTTGACCCATGAGTTAGTAGTGTGCTTAAATTTTTCCAAGCATATGTATTCTAAAAATAATTATATTGTGTTATTATCTTCTAATTAATTGCATTATTCTAGGAAATGGATATTGATTCTTTGAAATTTGTTGAGGCTTGTTTTGTGGTTTAATATTTGGTCAATTTTTATAAATGTTCCAAATGTGTTATCCCTAATTGTTTGGATTCTCTACATGAATTCTATATATGTCCAATAAATCAAACTTATTAATTGTATTGTTCAAAATTTCTGTCCTTTCTACTTTTTTTGTCTCCTTGATGTAATAATAATAGTGTGTTGACATCTCCTGTTACAATGATGAATTTGTCAGTTTCTCTCTGAGTTCTATTAATTTTTTGTTTTATATACAGTATTTTGAACCTATTAAGTTTATAATATTCATATCTTCTTAGTAAAGGGGAAACATTTAAAAATCATCCTATAGAGTTCTTACCATTTGCAACAGCATGGATGGAACTGGAAAGCATTATGCTAAGTGAAATAAGCCAGTCAGAGAAAGATAAATATCACATGATCTCACTCACTTATGGAATATAATGAGCAACATAAACTGATGAACAAAAACAGATCCAGAGACAGAGAATCATCGATCAGACTGTCAAACCTCAGAGGGAAGGTAGGGGAGGGTGGGGGTAAGGGGGAGAGATCAACCAAAGGACTTATATGCAATTATATAGGCCAAACCAATGGACACAGACAACAGGGGGGTGAGGACATGAGTGTGTGTGTGTGTGTGTGTGTGTGTGGGGGGGGGTAATGTGGGGATAAGGACACATATATAATAACTTAATCAATAAAAAATAAAAAAACATAAAAATCATCCTATATAATAAAAGGCTAATATGCAAATTGTCCCCTCAGGAGTTCCACTGACCAGAAGTTCAACTGCTCGCTATGATGTGTGCTGACCACCAGGGAGCGGCATGGAACGAAGGAAGGCTCTGGCAGGCAGCTGACAGCTGGGGGAAGGAAGGTCCCAGCTGGCAGCTGGAAGGAAGGCCCAGGCCAGCAGCTGGAAATCGACCCTGATCGCTGGCCAGGCCTAGGGACCCTACCCATGCATAAATTTTGTGCACTGGCCTCTAGTTATTTAATATTATTTTATATCCATAATAATGCTTTTTTCAAAAGTCTATTTTGTCTGATATTAATAAAGCCATTCCAACTTTACTTCAAACATTTTCAAGTCCTTGTACTTCAGGTAGGTCTCTTGTAAACATCATAGAATTAAGCAGTACTCAGCTTCCAAGATAGACCCCAATGAGTTGTGTCTCCCAGATTCACATCCTTGTATAGTCCACTCCAACATGAAGTAGGGCTAACCTGTGAAACCAATAGGATATTGTGGAAATAGCAGTTTGACTCCAGAGGCTACTTCATAAAATAGTGTCTTTCATTTTGCTTTCTCTTGAATCACTTGCACAGGAGGAAGCCAATTACCATGTCATGAGGACATTCAAGCATCCCTATGGAGAAGTTTACACATCAAGGCACCGTGACCTCTTGACAAAAAACCAGGACCAACTTACCAGCCTGTAAATGGGCCTCCTTGGAAGCAGATCCTCCAGCCCCAGTCAAGCCTTCGCATGACTGGTGTCCCAGCCACCATCTGAGAGACCCTGAGCTAGAACCACTGAGAAAAGCTAACCAAGTACAAAATAATTATTTCTCAGCTCCTACAAAGAAATATGGTCTCTTGTTGTTCTTGAAACTTAACTCCCTTAGTGTGTCTTATTTTTTCCACTTTAGATGAAGAAATGGCTATAAAGAGATGTTTTCTGTGCCCTAAAAAATGACAAGGCACATGGAATGATAAATGGACCTCATTGTTGGAGACATAATAACATGTGGAAGGGACTGGCAAATTGGAGAGAACATACCTATCCAAAGACAGAAAACCCTCCTCTCTAGCTGATATTTCCTTGTGAGAATGTGACCCAGTTATGTAAAACCAGCCAGTCTTCCAGGTGAAGCCAGAAATCCACATTTAATGTAAAATACCCTAAGTTTTTAATATTGGCTCAAAAATGAAGCATCCGCGTGGGCGCGCGCGCGCGCACACACACACACACACACACACACACACACACACACGAGTCATGTGCATACACCTGACTACTTTGTGGGAAAGCGAGGGCCAGAAAAGTTTCGTCACTTTCTCAAGGTGAAGAATGAAGTAGGTGGAGACTCTGACCTCCAGAAACGTTCTCTCCTGTGAATAAGACGTGTTTGCACCTTTGCTGTCCTTCCCTTTAAGCCAAGCTGTGCCCCACTGTGAGATGTCATGCTGATGTCCATATAGACTGTATACATCAAATTATGGCAACTAATTATTAGTGGTAGGCAGGGATGCCTGTGTGTCTGTCCATCAGGAGAGGCAAATAGCTCAGGGTCCAGAGAAAAGCCATGTCAGAACAGTAAGTGAGTTTTACAACAAGGATTATAAGATGTATCAGTAGACGCTGCTCTGTCTGGGACACTGCTTGGGAGACTTGAATTATTAATAAAAATTCTAGGAAGCCAAAGTGGCTTTTTAAGGTCCTTTATCCAATTAAAGGAAGACAATTCCAAGTGTATTTCCAAGCACCATTATTTTTTTATTTTGAAAAATTTATACTGATGTACAATTTCCATAGAGAAAGTACACAGATCATAAACAACAGTTCAACAGTTTTTCACAAACTAAACACCACCCCCCCCCCCCCCCCCCCCCAGTTACCAGCACCTGGTTGAGACATAGAACATTACCAGCATCCTGGAAGCTCCCATCATGCTTCCATCTAGTCACTAAATCCGTTCTCCAAGGGAAACCACCCTCCTGACTTCTAACAGCATACATGAGTTCTGCTAATTTTTGCATTTTATGCAAGTGGAATAGCCAGTAAGTATTTTCTTAAATCTTGTTTCTTTCACGCAATATTATATTTGTAAGATTCATCCACACTGTAGTGTATGGGTGTAGATCATTCTCATTACTTTATAATAATTCTTTGTGTGAACAGCCTACAGTGGATGTATCTATTCCTCTGTTGGTGGACCTTGGATAGTTTCCAGTGTGGGGCTATTACAAATAGAGATATTGCTAAATTTGGTTCATTGTAAAGAGGTATTAAAAAGTAAATCAAGATTTTTTTTTTTACTGTGCTCTTTCAACATTAAAAAAAATTCAACTTCTTTTTTCATGGAAGCAAGAATCCAATCAGGTCAAGAAAGAATACTAGTATTTTTGCCTTGCTGGTGTGGCTCAGTGGTTGAGCACTGACCTATGAACCAGGAGGTCATGGTTTGATTCCCAGTCGGACACATGCCTGGGTTGTGGGCTCGATCCCCAGTGTGAGGTGTGCAGGAGGCAGCCGATCAATGATTCTCTCTCATCATTGATGTTTCTCTGTATGTATCTCTCCCTCCCTTCCTCTCTGAATTTCACACGTGGCCTCTTCTCCCTCCTTTTCTCATCTGCAACTTACTTTGTAAGCTGAATTCTCAATAACTTTGTGTTTAATCCCCGCCCCCCCCCCCCTTTGTAACATTAAAGAAGCAAACATCATTTTAAAGACATTAGGTACTATTCAAGCACATTGTGAAAAAAAATTGGAAAACACAGAGACGTTTAAATAAGAAAATGACCACCTCCTGCCATCTACATATAATGGTGCAAATATGTGAGCATATTGTTTCCAGTATTTTCTTCTGTCTCTCTTTCACATAGTTGAGATTGAACTATATATGCATATTTATATCTCCTTTCGCTTAAGCTTATACCAAAACTATTTTCCCATGTCATTTATAACTGCTCTTGAACATTGTGTTTCCTCGCTACGTGATAATCCATCCCACATGTATGCCAAAAGTTATTTGACTAATATCCTAGACGGGGATATTTAGGATGCTTACACTTTCATTTTGACAATTAGAAACAATGCTTCGGTGACTATCTCGGATGTAAATCTTTGTCCTCATTGTAGAGAATTTCCTTAGTTAGTTCCTAGAAGTGGAGTTTACTCGGTCCAGAATAATGACATTTTAAAGGAGTCTCATACATCCCATGTTGCCAAGTTGCCTTACAGAAAGGTGCCACCAGCTTTAAGAACTGAGAGCGCAGGAGCACACATTTCATTGCATCACACATTGAATACTGTTTATTATGGAGCCTCTTCATACTGTTCTGTTTTAAGTATTTTAAAATGTCTCTTCTGATTTATTGACCTGTGAGTTATTTAGAAATTTCCAAAGGTATGAGGCTTAAAAAAAATCATTTGAATTGATTAAAAACTCAATTTAATTGTAGTGTGGTCAGAGAAGATGGTGCGTATGCTACCTATTCTTTGAAATGTGTTGAGAATTGTGTATAATCAATTTTGTAAATGTTTGGGTGACTAACCAGCCCAATTTGTTTGGGGCTGAAGGATTTCCTGGGATGAAAGACTTTCAGTGCTAAAATCAGGAAAGTCCTGGACAAACTGGGCGGAGTCAGTTACTGGGCTGAGAATAGTGTGCGTTCTATAATTATTGGGTGCAGAGTTCTAAATAGGTACATTAGACCAAGCTTACTTACTGGTTTTTTTTAAAATTTTAATTTGGGAAAATTATGGATTTGCATGCAATTGTAAGAAACAATACAGAGAGGTTCAGTGTATCCTTTACAGCTTTAGATTATTAATACAGATGATCTGTTTTATTCGAATTTAAGCAGTTTTACTTGTACACACACACACACACACACACACACACACACACACACACACTAAATGCACGTGCCTGTGTATTTAGTTCCGTACAATTTTATCAGATGTGTAGGTTTATGTATCCACCACCATGTCAAGATGTGGCCATCACAACAAAGATCACTCTTGTTGCCCTTTTATAACCACAAGCACCTCCCTCATGTTCCCCTTCCCCACTAATCTGTTCATTTCTACTTCTGTCATTTGAAGAGTGTTATATAAATGGAATTATACAGTGTATAACCTTCTGGGGTTGGCTTTTTTCACTGAGCATAATTCCCTGGAGATCCATACATGTTGTTTATCAGTAGTTTGTTCTTTTTTATTGCTGATTAGTATTTCATGGATGGATGGACCCCAGTTTAACTATTAACCCAATTAAAGACATCTGGGTTGTTTTCAGTTTTTGACTATTACAAATAAAACGTCTATGAACATTCATGTACAGAATTTAGTGTGAACTGAAGTTTCCATTTTTCCAGCAGAATGCCCAGGAGTGTAATTACTGGCTTTCACAAATTTTTTTTTTTAAAAAAAATCTCTATTTTGCCAATTTTATATACTTGTGCTATGAATAATTGAGACAGATTTTGAAGTTGATTTATCAATGTATGCATTTTGAAGCCATTTTATAAGATGCATACAAATTTAGAATTGTTATAACTTTCTGTCTATACATTTGGAACCCCAGGTCCTTGAATAGTGGCTCTGGGTTCAGGGATCCTATTGTGCTCCTGGGACCAGAAAGTCCACAAGACAGAGCAGTTTGGACCCTCTAACTCTATGGCAATAATAATGTAGTGGCATAGTTACTGAGAACGTGAGAAGATTAGTCTGAAGTTGTGTCATTCTTTTGACGACATTGTATCACAAGCATGCCATCACCAGGATGATTGATGACCATGAAGGAAGGAAGTGAGCATACTGTTCTGTCCACAGATGTCTGTGCCCCTAGAAGAGAGGAAGTGAAGGAGGATGGCTTCCCTTCAGCTGAGGTGCTGGCAGTACATGGTGGGAGCTGGTAGCCTGGCTTGGGAAATCTGGGGTGTTTACTTGGAGCGAACTGCCAAGAAAATTCTCTTTCCTGTGGAGTTCACATTGGAGGAGAGATGCTACAAAGGTATAAGAGAAAGGAAGAGATGAAGCCTGGTAGGAATCTTTCCTCCCCTGAGCTTCTTGTGCATTTGTACTAGTAAATACACCCTGGAGAACTTACTCCGTAGGCAGGCCGAGGTCAACTCATCCATCCCCCTGTCTCTGGGCAGCAATGTCCCAAGTGCCTCCAAGAGTCGCATCTTCCCATGTGTGCTTAGTCTCTTAGTTTACCTTTCAAGCCCAGCTCTGGTGGCCCTTACACGTTCACCCTCAGGGATCCCTTTTCCTGGAGCCTCATAGCACTTATTGTCCTCATAACCCTAATTTAGCAAAACTGTTTTAGGATGACACCTTCTATGAGAGCAGGGCTGTGTGGCATGTTGTTTCTGCCTGTATTATTTTCCTGTTGCTGCTGTAACACATTGCCACAAACTCAGTGCTTAAAACAACAGAAATTTATCTTACAGTTCTGGAGGTCAGAAGTCTGAAATGGGTCAAAATCAAGGTGTTGGGAAAGCTGGGTTCCTTCTGTAGGTTCTAGGGCAGAATCTTTCTGTTCCTTGCCTCTTCTGGCTTCTAGAGGCTGCCTGCATGCATTTGCTGGTTTGTGACTCTTACCTCCCCAACCTCTGCTTCTGACCCTCTGGCCTTCTCATAGAAGGACGCTTGTGATTAGACTGGGTTCACCTGAATAATCAGGGATAATCCCCTCGTCTTCATAGCTTTAACTTAATCACATCTACAAAGTCCCATTGACATTCACAGGTTTTGGGGGTTAGGATGTGAATATCTTTGGGTCATTCTGTGATTGGCTGTATCTGCTTTTGTCTTCTCGAGCTCCATGGCCTCATTCAGGTCCTCATTGTGC